CCTCATTTGGTATCGTGTGAGTATTACATGTGGGAATTTGAAAGCGGTGTTTATTCCATTGTTTGTTCAGTGGGAATTCATGCATCAGCCGAGAGATGACAAGTTTAGTTACGATGAAGGGTCGAGATGTGCTCCATAAATATTTACTCACACAATCTCATATGGACATGTAGTCCCAAATATTTACTCACGGGACATGTAGTCCCATATATTTACTCACATATCTAATGGAGATAGAGATAGGCAGGGCTAAAGCTGACTTTTAGGACATGGGGGCATTGGAGCACTTTCTTTTTACCACCCCAAAACATGTGCTTAAAAGTTTTGAATTTTCTTGATTTTTGTTACATGAATACGCATGCATGTGGTTTAAGTACCTGTGAAATTTCTTTCAATAATACGTATTGTACGTTGCACAAAACAAGACAAAAGGTTGGCCCAAAATCGACAAAAAAAAAGTAAACCCCAAATTTGCATGTATTTTGTCCTTTTTTTTATTTCACATGGAAACACGTATATTTGATGAAATTTTCACAGCTACACGTGCATGTACACAAAAAATTACTCCGCTTTTGCAACCATAAAATCTGTTTTTTGAACTTTAAAGAAACGTGCTCCTATGCCCCGTGCTCGCATGTCACTTTGTAGGTAGGTAGGATCACCTAGTCATCGCCTACTACTTGAGTTACCATCCGGCCGGTCTCCCTCTCGTCTCTCCATTCCCCATTGTCACAGATTTCCACCGTAGCTAGTCTGTCCGTGTGTTGCCCGATCTGTATCCGGCCGGAGATGATGGAGCCGCCGTCACTCTCGTTGCGCAGGCGAGTTGGGACGGTTGGCCGTGCGGTGGAGGGAGGCGGCCTCCAGCACGCAGGACACGGCGTGGACGGGTGTGCCAGTACGGCAGATGTGGCGGCTGCGGCGTTGTGGAGGCGCAGATCGACGCTCCGAAGCCGAATTCCTCACCCCTTGGAGCTGCGTGCAGCGGTTCCTCTCCAACTCCGACCGGTTCGATCTCGGTCGTCAAATTTCCTTTGCCGCACACGTTCCTTTCCTCTGTTCTCTTCTAGCAAGTGGTAAGCAATGGGTCCCTGAACTGAAGAGTATCGTCATTTCAGTAATTTGATCCTTGTATCGTGTATCAAGAATCATGCAAAATGAACTGCGCACAAATATAGCAACCCTCGCTGTCTTTTTTTTTCAGAAAAACTTCCAATCTATTCATCTTTAATCATGGCAGTACAACGAATATCAGAAATAAAAATTACATCCAGATTCATAGACCACCTAGCGACCTTAATCTGAAATAACATCCTGTACTATTTCAAAAGGCACAGAAATTCTTCATATTCACCAATCTCTGTCATTTGTTGTCAAACTAATTATCAACATGCATCTCTCGATAGTTTTATACTTCCTCCGTTCCTAAATATAAGTCCTTTTAGAGAATGGTATCTTCGCGATATTAATATATTTCTTTTATCAAAAAGTCTTTTTAGAGATTCCACTATAGAGGTTACATTCGCATTTATATGTACTAATAAATAATGTGTCTGCAGGCTGACACACCCTTGGCACAAACTTCTCCACGCCCTACCCGGAAACTGAGAGAATGAGTCTGCGATTCAGCCACCGTCCTGCGGCGACGCAGCCTATTGTACTCAATGAACAAGCCATTGTTGACAACCTTACTGAAGATAACATGAAAATGACGTGGGCTAGCAGAAGGACATGGGAGGACGAACATCTCTACTTAGTCCATGGTCAGGGTACTGCTGCAGGCAACACTCCCCCGTGCACGTTGGCCGTCAAGAAGTTCCAGAGCATTAACCAAGCGCTGCAAGTAGACAACAATGCCAAGTACCGCTACAATTCGGAGATGTTCCTGTTAGCTAGCAATTCTCATGATAACATCATCAAAGTCGTAGGCCTCATCCAGAGGGAAGACACAATCATGCTCGTTTACGAGTATCCGGTGAACGGCAGCCTTCAGTCCTGGCTGAGCCAACCAATGGATGCTGGTCAGCCACTGAGCTGGCCGCAGAGGAGGTTCATTGCCATTGGTGTGGCCAACGGGCTCTGCCACTTGCACCACAGATGCAAAAGGCCGATTATCCACCAGAACATCAACTCCAACAACATCTTGCTTGATCACAATTTCAAGCCTGTGATAGCCGGTTTTGACGCTGCACAGATGAACATGGCCGGGCTCGACCAACCGTTGCCAATTGCGGGCCTGCCTCTTGGTAACTTTGGGTACGCAGCTCCAGGTATGTTGGGCGATCGATGCACACAATGGAATCCTGTCTTAACATTTCTTAATCACAGGGAATTCTGTCTTAACTAGCTTGGTCTATTAACTAGTACACCATAAATGATTAAGTGCAGAATATGGGGTCGCAGCAAGCGAGCTGACGGAGAAGGTCGACACATACAGCTTTGGGGTGCTCATGCTGGAGCTCGTCACGGGGCGAATGGCCAATGAAGCTGGAGCGGATGGTCATTTGGCGACTTGGGCGCGGAAGAACTTCACTGAGCTGATGGCAAACCAACAGGAAATGTTCCAGAGTGTCGTGGACGCGGACATCCCAGATCAAGCGCGGTACATGAAGGAGATGGCAACTGTGTTTAGGCTGGGTGTTGATTTCACCGTTGTTGATCCACAGAAAAGGCCGTCCATGCGAATGGCTCTCAAACGACTCTGCCGCGGCTGTGGGCGTGGCCCATTCCGTGGCCTCCTCGCCTGCTATCTGATGTGATGCTTGTTGTCTTTTCTAGACGTCACGAATGAATGGTCCATATGATGACTCGGTTGAATAAATTTGTAGATACATCTCAAGTACAAGTAATGACGTGGACTGTCCTGCCTTTTTCTGAGAACATTTTGCTGTCCAGTTGTGTTCACCTCTGCAAAATTCTGCTGCTTGTTTTCCTTCTCTGTGTGCAAACACTTCTTGCTTGTGAGCACTTGAGCAACTAGTATCTGGCATATTGCTATTTGTTACATTTTGCAGGGTCACGTTTTATATGTACTTTCCTTCTGCTGACTGAAGCAGCACTGAACTACCCAACAGGTCTTGAACATGTACTATGTCTGTGTTTAGCTTGAAAAACATGCATTGACAGTCATCACTATTGTTAGCTAGGTTCAGTCTTTTTTGTGGTCCCTTCTTTGTTGTTTTTACCCTACTATTATTCATATTTTTCCTCGACTATTTGTTCTTGACACTCATATTGCTTTCTAGTCAGGATGGCCCTGCCATATCCATTTGCTACAATGCCTTCTTCCATCACGAGACAGTGATCTTAGGTACTTAATACCAGTCAAACCATGATTCACAAGCACTTATTTTACTGCTGTCTAATAGCTTCATATGTTGTGTTTCCGTGGGCATTCCCCAAGAACAGATGTACAGAAAGCTTTCTTTCAGGAGACCAGACTGAACCTGATCAGCAATCAACCATCTCGCCTGCTCTGCCATTTTGCTGTTTTTCTTAACAAAGTAATATTCTTCTTTTCTGTAGATCTTGCCTGTAATTACACACCACTCCATCTGCCTCCTCTGATACGAAAGAAGCACTAGCGCCTGCCAAGGTATGATTTGACAAAAGATTGTTTCTGTTCTTGCTAAATAGGGCACGATATGTGCAAATTGGATGAAACTATTTCGGTTGTTGCTCGCCATAAAACTCCAATGCGTTTGTGGAACTGTTTGACAGTCATAGTCATACATGCCTGGGGGATCAACTCTGGTCTGAGTGTTAAATCAGTAAAAAAATACTACCCATGAATTTATATTCAAAGGATCTTCACCACTTGGGCAAGCACATATCCTATTTGCATTCAAACTTGATGATCATTGCATTCAAACTTGATGGTCATTGCATTTCAATGGTTGAAAATATGAACAAAAATATTTCAAAATAGCTTATAGGAGTCATATTGACATGGAGATTTGACTGGTCTCACCTCGAGGTCGGAGGGGGTCCGTGACGGGGACGGCGGCGGCGATGACATGGAGATTTGGCTGCAAAAACAAAATAAAAATAAAAATATTATTATCCTCATCTTAAGACTTAGTGAAACCCTATAAGCTATCTACTAATCAAATGCATACGCTTTGCATGGTGCTCTCCAATTTGAGCATTCAAAATAAGAGTAATTCTCCAATTTGAGCATTCAATAAGCAAAACTAAATCATAAAATAAATTAGTATTCAAATTAGCATGCATTCAATAAGCAAAACTAAATCATAAAATAAATTAGTATTCAAATTAACATGCATTCAATAAGCAAAACTAAATCATCTCTTGCGTCCGTACATCATCGAATACTATCACTAATACATCTCGAATAGTATCATACATATAACCTCATTAATACAGCTACAACCCTAGCGAACGACGGGTATCAGCGCTAGTGATGGACACCCAAAGAGAAGGAACCATCACAGGATCATAGCTCCAGTGATCTCCCTGAAGAACCTGCCAGGTATTGTCGAACCTGCCCTCCAACGCAACCATGTAGCGATGGACATGCTCGTCCTCCTCGCTGACACGGTGACGTATCACCTCCGCAGGGGACGCAAGCCTCCGCATCGTCAGTGGCCCATATGACCGGCAGCAAAGAAGGTTCGGGTCAATGACGGGCTGGTTCC